TTGAACTATGAAGATCGGACACAAAATATACCCTATAACAGACTATGTTTTTATTTGACCTCTGAGTGTGACCTTGACCTTGGAGGTAGGGAGGAAGGTGTTGCTCATGACACTTTGTCTAATTATAGTCACTATTTGTGCCAAGTATATTCAAAAGTATTTTAAAATCCCTTGATCTATGAAAAAGTTATAGACCGAACACAAAATATACCCTATAACAGACTATGTTAATCTTTGACCTCCAAGTGTGACCTTGTTTTTTGTTTTGTTTTGGGTTTTACGTCACATCGACACAGTATAGGTCATATCGCGACCTTCCAACTTTACTGGTGGAGGAAGACCTCAGGTGCCCTTCCGTGCATTATTTCAGGCCCGAACGGGCACCTGAGTAGAACCACCGACGTTCCGTAAGCTAGCTGGATAGCTTCAAGTGTGACCTTGACCTTGGAGGTAGGTGTCCAGTTGTTGCGCATGACACATTGTCTTATTATTGTGAATAATTGTGGCAAGTATTTACAAAATCCCTTCAAAGATAAGAAAGTTATGGACCGGACACGACATATACCCTCAAATAGACAATGTTGACCTTGAATGAGCAAGTGTGATCTTGACCCTTAAGGTAGGGGTCTGGTTGTTGCACATGACACATCGTTTTATTATAACAAACATCTGTGCCATATTATTTTAAATTTCTTTGACAAAAGACAAAGTTATGGACCGGACATGTTACGGATGGACAGACGAACAGGAGAGTAATAATGTGGCTACTCTATTGTTCCCTCCATTGTTTTAGCCACACAAAGAAAAAAGCCACATAAAAGCATTACGTTATGAATGACATCAAAGAGAAAGAACAGTTACCTTATTCCCTCTAGCCACATTATTACTATCCTGTGAGTGCAGACGGACGGACAGACGGACGTTCTAACAGGAGAGTAATAATGTGGCTACTCTATTGTTCCTTTTAGCCACACTTAAGAAAATAACCACATAAAAGCAATACGGAATGAATGACATCAAAGAAAAAGAACAGTTGCCTATTGTCCATTTAGCCACATAATTACTGTCCTGTGGTTGCGGACGGATGGACAAACGGACGGAGCCTATTTCTATATCCTCCTTTTTTTCGAAAAGGCGGAGGACAAAACAACAACTTATCTGAATATATTCATCATCATCTTCAATAATCGCCTAACTCTCCATAGATGATAATCGCGATGAAACTAAAACTATGTACATGCTCAGCAATTGGGTTCCTCTTTACAATTAAAAGTATTCTATTTACATCTTAAAAACTGGTAAAACTGGCAATGTGTCTAGTTGGTGGAAGTGTGTTTCATCACCGCCGACATGAGACCCTCCATGGTTGGTTGCTCAACAACTTGTATGGGTATACTTACTAACTTACTTTCTGGCGTTCGCAATTACACGACTACGCCAGTATCTACGATGAAGGATGTGGTCCGTCTCAGGTCCTCAACATCACAATAAAACTTTAGTTCGACGGTTGTTTCCTGAGGCCGCGTCGCAGCTCGCTCCTAGGCGTGTCGCTTACATCTTTGGAGGACATGCTCTGCAGTTTGGTCTTCTTCTCCAAACGGACACATTGGGGATTGAACGAGTCGGTACTTTTCGTTCATGTGTGCGTTAAGTCTGTTATGTCCTGAGCGAAGTCTGACCATCATCACTTGTTCTGGTCGGTTCAAAGAGTGATATGCATGAAGCTCTTTTCTTGGCTTTGTATTGGTAGACGATTCCAGAGAATGATTGTGGCTGAAAAGAAGGTGTTCTGATACACAGATTTCCTACATGTGAGTTATTGTGGTCTGCCTCTTGATGTTCTTGCACTACGTAGCGGGGGATCAGGTGTGACATCTACAAAATTCTGGAAACAAAGTGATCCCTCGGAAGCATTAACCACAACAAAATAACATAAGAATTGCAGACTCGGTTTGATTGAGTCTGTACATGAGGAATAATGAATAAGTGCAACATCCCTCATGTCCCCTAGCACCGGCTTGAGCGGTACTCAATTCTCACCACTTTATAGTGTTGGCATCAATGATCCCGAAGAACCAGAAATTATAACAACACTGAAGTGAAGTACGGGGCAACTTTTTACGGCTGCCACACGGCACTTGACACCTGCTGTTGTGAAGTACAAAATTCTGGAAATGCTTGATCTTGTAGAGCAAGGTGACTCTTGGCATATCCCGGCTCTTCTGTAGAGTGGTCCAGTGTCGTGAGTTTATCATCATTGTGAGGCTGCTCTGGCGTGAGTAGTCATTCTTAACAAATCGTGCTGCTCTTCTTTGGACCATCTCTAGTTGGTTGATGTAGCTGTCAGCAGCAGGTGACCATACAGAGGATGCATACTTTACTATTGGCCGTACGAAGGTGTTGTAAGCTTTGGATTCGGCATCTGGTGGGCTTGAAGGGATCATTTGGCGCAGGAATGCTAGGGTTGAGTTGGCTTTTTTGGTTATGTTGTCGATGTTCTGTTTATTTATTAACAACATTGTACACATGTAGATCTCTAATGAGGAATGTTGCACTTATTCATTATCCATCATGTACAGACTCACTCAAACCGAGTCTGCGATTCTTATGTAATGTTGTTGTGATTAATGCTTCCGAGGGATCACTTTGTGTTATATTTATTTTCTCTATTTGTTATACATGTATGTATATAGTAAAAACTTAAAAAATCTTCTTTTAAAAACTCATACAGCTGGAAGTTAGATATTAAGATTTGAAACCTCTGTGATTACTGATGACTGAAAATAGCAAAGGGCAATAACTGAAAAATGATTCTTGTGTGATGCCCTCCTCCTCAATAAGATCTATCAACCTATGCAGTTTCAAGTTGATACCTGTTATAATTTTTTAGATAAGCTCCGGACAAAAAGTATGAAAAATAACAAAGCGCAAAGGGTAGAGTTATCATTCTTGCACACAGCATTCCTCCTCAATACGATAAATCCACCTCTGAAGTTTCATGTTGACATCTCAAAGACTTTTTGAGTTATGCTCCACTCAGGTGAAAAATTAAGTATGAAAAATAACAAAGGGCAATAACTAAAAAATTATGAAAAGGTAGAGTTATCACTCTTGTGCACTGCACGCCTCCTGAGTGAGATATATCCACCTATGAAGTTTCATGTTGATATCTCTTTTGAGTTATGATCTGGATACTTATTTAGTTTGAAAAATAACAAAGAGCAATAACAGAAAATTATGATCTATCCACCTTTGAAGTTTAGAGTTGATACCTCAAATACTTTTTAAGATATGCTCCGGACAAAAATGTCGGGCGGAAGGACGGCCGGACAGACAAACAGAGACTAAGTTATATTTTGACTTTCTATTGAATACCTTATATAGTAAATACTTAATGAGTTACTGTCTAGACAAAAATTAAGTTTGAAAAATAACAAAGCAATAACTGAAAAATTATGCAGAGAATAGTTATCATTCTTGTGAACTGCACTCCTTCCCAATATGATCTATCCACCTATGAAGTTTGAAATTGATACCTCAAATACCTATTGAGATATGCTCCGGACAAAAATTCGGACGGAAGGACAACGGAGACTATTTCTATATCTCACGCCGCCATTTGGCGGAGGATTACAAAAAATCAACTGGTCGGCTTTTAAAAGTACTTGTACTTGGATATAAAACCAAATAAAACATGCAACAAGCCATCTTTTAAAAGTATTGGGTAAAAGAATAAACAAGAGGGCCATGATGGCCCTGAGGTCGCTCACCTGTATATTGCCCCCCCCCCCCCCCCGGCCCAATTTTTACCCAAGGGCTTTTATTTGTTTATTTGAACAGACTTGGTAGACACCCATAAGAAGATGTTTCATGCAAAACATCTAAGTTCTAGCTCATTGGGTTTTTTAAAAGAAGATTTTTTAAGTTTTTACTATACACATAGAGTAAAAAACAATGACACCCCTCGGGCAGGGCCAGTTTTGACCCCTGGGCTTTTATTTGAACAAACTTTGTAGATATTTACTTAAAGATGTTGCATGCTTAATATCTAAACTCTAGTTATTTGGGTTTTTTCAAAGAAGATTTTTAAGTTTTTGCTATGTATATAAGGAAAATCAATGACCCCCGGGGCGGGGCCAGTTTTGACCCCAGGGCTTTTATTTGAACATACTTGGTAGACACCCATTAGAACATGTCTCATGCTAAATATCTAAGCTCTAGCTCTTTGGGTTCTTTAAAAGAGATTTTTAAGTTTTTACTTTATGCATATAGGGAAAATCAATGACCCCCTGGGGCGGGGCCAATTTTGACCCCAGGGCTTTTATTTGAACAAACTTGGTAGACATTCACTAGAAGATGTTTCATGCCAAATATCTAAGCTCTAGCTCTTACAGTTCTTTAAAGGAAGATTTTTTAAGTGTTTACTATATGCATATAGGGAAAATCAATGACCCCCCGGGGCGGGGCCAATTTTGACCCCAGGGCTTTTATTTGAACAAACTTGGTAGACACTCACTAGAAGATGTTCCATGCCAAAAATCTTAGCTCTAGCTCTTACAGTTCTTTAAAAGAAGATCTTTTAAGTTTTTACTATATGCATATAGGGAAAATCAATGACCCCCCGGGGGCGGGGCCAATTTTGACCCCAGGGCTTTTATTTGAACAAACTTGGTAGACACTCATTAGAAGATGTTTCATGCCAAATATCTAAGCTCTAGCTCTTAGGGTTGTTTAAAAGAAGATATTTAAAGATTTTTCTTTCGGTTGCCATGGCAACCAGAGTTCTGCATGGAATTAAATTCTTTGAACAATTTTTAAAGGTGACCACCAAAGGAACATTCCTGTGAAGTTTGGATGAAATTGGCTCAGTGGTTTATGAGGAGATGTCATTTAAAGCAAAAGTTTACGGACGGACGACGGACGGACGCCGGACGAAAAGCGATCACAAAAGCTCTCCCTGTCACTTTGTGACAGGTGAGCTAAAAACACATCTTGATTAGAAGTTAATAAGTGTGAGATTTATATATAAAACAACACAGTTATTTTTTATGGAGATTAATTTATTGTTGACACTGGTAAATATCCAACATCATACAAATAATTACTAGAGAAACAGTTTCTGTTAAACATGCGAGTATACTGCTGTGAAATAAAACCTAAATAATGTAAATATGAAAAAATCTGCCACCATTTTGAGTTTGCTATTTTTTCTCAAATATTGTATGCCAATGTTACATAAAGCTTGTTTGTGGTCTTCTAGTTGTAACATAACAATATTTATCTAAGCTTGATTGTGACATAAATTCTTTAAACTTATAATAATAGTCTAGAGCTAACTAGAAATGGTGTGAGGTCTGAAAACAAGGTCATTACGCATTGGTTAGATAGTCCATTTGAACAACTTGACCACCCCTCTGCTATATTTCATTAGCCATAATATACTTTTTAAGTTCTTATTTGCAATTTTTACATTACAAACATCATTTGAGCCGTGTCATGACAAAACCAACATAATGGGTTTTGCGACCAGCATGGATCCAGACCAGCCTGCACATCCGCGCAGTCTGATCAGGATCCATGCTGTTCGCTTACAAGCCCTATAACAAGTAGAGAAACTGATAGCGAAAAGCATGGATCCTGATCAGACTGCACGGATGCAAACCCATTATGTTGGTTTTGTCATGACGTGGCTCATTTCATGTTACATTGTAACTTGTAACAAAAAAGTTTCAATATTGAGAAAAAAACAACAATAGAAACTAAAGTAATTAGATAATTGTACATGTTTATATTAATATACAAGATAATAGATCAGAAAATTCGTATTGAAATATCTACTTATCTACTAACTTTCAATTCAATACAAAAATGTGAATGATTAAAACTAAGCAAATTGAAATGATGATAGCTTCCATATTATTTCTTTCCGCTATTCCCAAATAATGTTTAGACCAACACGGTCTACAAATAAAATATTCCTTATATCCCACACTGCAACCAACCCATAGAAAATCACCACTAACCAAGAATTTATCATTGCAAAACATTTAATTGTTCGCTTTGATTTTGATACTTAATATTAAAGCATTAATGGTCTTACGGTAAAAACAGACCAATCCACATGAAAAAAATACTTAATGATAGCTTGAAGAATGTGTTTATTTCAGCTCAATTGTTATGAAGCTTGAAACTTATTTAAGTCACTCTTGTATCCACTTCTTGATTCTAACCAGGACTTGTGTGATTTGAGGAAACTCCAGTCATGACCCAAGAAGGGCTCGAACCTACTATCCCTGAGTTGAGAGGATGACATCTTTACCACTAAGTCATCTCTTTCTCCATATTAATAATAAATATTAATTATTATCTTTAACACATTTTCTATCAGATTTGTCTGCATTATGTAAATTCTATATTACAACAAGTCACATACAGAAATACAAAACGTTAATATTACATAAAGGTAACATGCATTATATATGATAAAAAAGTGACGGAACAAGGAAAATTGTACTAAAATATAACTGACATTATTTTATTTTTTATACATATATATACCTAACTTGTAGATATAAGGCATAAACATCTCTACAAAAAACTTTGTATTATAAGCTATTATATTTTCAGTCAAGTGGAGTCACAGAAGAACATTCTAGACTATATTCTTAGTGCTTGATAGTAAAACAAGAATAATGTAAAAAAAATCTAAGTTCAAAATAGGCCATAATTCTGTCAAAATCCATGTAAGAGTTATGAGCTTTAGAGAGTGACTTCCCAATTATGCTCTCAAAAAAGTGTGTGAAGTTTCAATCCATACACTTCAATACTTTTGGAGATTCCAATTTGCTTTAAACAAATCTTTCTAATCCAGTTACCTCTCTGGCGTGGGTTCAATCCCCGGGAGATGCTTTGGTAGTTTAGCGCGGAGGAAGGTAGTCTAGTACTGGTGTAACTCTCCGATCGAACGATGGTTAGGAAACTACCCGCCTATATGACTGAAACACTGTTGGGAATAGGCGTAAAATGAAAGAAAGAAACAAACAAAAATATACATATTTCCTCTCATTATCTTTGTTATAACACTTATATAACCAAAACGTTAATGTAAACAGCATTGTTTAACCTATATGCATATCTTTGTACGACTATATTTACATTTACAGTTATTGTAATGTTAATAAAATAATGCACCTTTGAATAAGTCTAAAATGAAATATTTTCTGTTCTAGTCACATATTTCTATAACGAATACATAAAATAACAACCATGAACAGTCATCAAAAACTTGTCATCAAGAGCTTGTCATCAGGTTTTAACCCCCCTTACCTAACCCTGCTGGAACTGAAAGTGATTAGTCTTTGCCACCAGTATAGTGCCAGGTCAGCCTGTACATTCATGCAGTATAAGTAGGCTCTATACTGTTGACTTACTATAACTTTTTAATTGAAGTGTTAACTGTTTTATATTTCACTTGTTCAGCTTTGACTCTTGCACTGTTCCCTGTTATTTGTAAGGGGCTTCAGATCAACGAGCTAAAATCAAACATCCACCAGTATAGAGTCTGGTAAGACAGGACAGATATGTAGGATAACATGACTTCATACTGGTGAAATAGATTGACCAATTTTGTCACAAGATATATCGTTGCAAAATCCTTAAAATGCTAAGATCAGTCACCTAGACAACTACAAACTAGCAGTATACAGTAACTCTAAATTACAATAAAACAAATTAAAAAATTGTATCATGTTGCCATGGCAATTAACAATCTAAGTTACAATATGAACACATTTAGTCAATCATATAACATATATATCAGTCAACATAAATATTTCATTTTTATCTACAATGTTTTTCAGTTGTCTCTATTTTGCATCATGCCTTTTGGTTCAATGTTTAAGATTCTCTTTATATTTCATTTCAGAACCAAACACATCGAATATAGCACTAAACACATATTAAACATAATTTGGACACACACATGCACATCACAAAATGTGAAAAAAATATATTTCACAATCATGCATTTTAACCGGTTTACGTTCACAATCATGCAGTTTTAACCGGTTTAAGACTGGTCTGTCTTCTCTCAGTATCAAATGCTGCCACTTGCTCATTCCCATCTATCAGGTCAATCAACTTAAGTAATTGTTCATCCCCTTGTACAGTTTTGTTATCAACTAAAACAGAGCGTACTGTGTCCACCAACTCATCAAATTTACAAACTTCAGCATCAGCTTTTTTCCAGTTACTTTCTAGTTTTTGTATTCGTTTTACAGCTTTAGCGCTCATCTGCTCCACCATAGTATCTTTTTCATTCAGCAATGCTCGATATTTCTCCACCTGAAATTAATAATGCATGTATAACATACATATAAGTTATTATCATACTTTAGCTTATAATGTCATTGTCACTTTTGTAAAGGTCAGAGTTGATATAAGAGTGTGTCTATCAGGTTATAGTTTTCTACAATCTTACTATAATGAATTCTGTATAATCTAAGTTCATATTGTGATTGTACAGCCTTATAGGCAGAGAAATACACAAGGTGCACTTAATTTATTATTTATATGTATTATTATGTGTATGTAGAACCATAAATTTGCTATTTGGGCAGCTTTCACCTAACAACATCAATCAACTTTGTTTTAGTTTTGTAATTTACTTTTATTCTTTTTAAAGTTTATTTTTAGGTTTATTTTAAATCTTTTCAATAATTCATTTAAAAACCAACATATATGGGAAATCCTTTATAAACTTAATATTTAAGATTTCAAATATTGAAGAACATAACCTCTGCAGAGACGTACCTTCTTTTTTAGTGCTATAACTTGTCTTTGTGATTCTACATCTACAGCTGATCTCCCATCACTACCTGGAGTAGCGGCAGTCTCCAGTTTCTCCAGCAGTTCTGTAATTTGTTCGTTCAAAAGCTCGTTCTCCGCTTTCAAACCTTGATTTTTCCCTCTTAGTCTGCCGATCTCTTCCTGAACAAGCTGTGAATATGAACAACAGAAATTACTGAAATGATTTATATTACAGCATTTACTTTTCTTTACGGAATCTGTAATCTAATCAATGATTATAAATGAAAGTTCCAGGGATTTTTCCAGGATTTTGGGAACATGACCCATACCCATAGAACTGGGAATTTCAGCGATGTTTTATTAAAAATTGGGAAAAAATGCATGACTGAAATATTGCAGTGATTAAATTAATACAAACAATCCCTGTTTGGGATGGGATCTTAAAACATTTTATCACTATTGCAGTGAAGGAGCCCTTATTTTCAAAGAATTTAGAATTCTTTATTCAATATTTTTATTTTGTAACTTTCAATTGGGAATATTTTCCTGTGGATTGGGAAAATATTTTTAGTCTCACTCATTCTAAATTACATCAGAATGTCAATTACCATATATTTACTATGCAGGTCTTTAAAAATAGAATATAAATATACATGATCTATGCTTTACAATCTGTCTATACTAGCATGAAAAATACTGGAAAATCTAACAATTTTAAAGATACGTTATAAAAGAAAACTGTTTTATTTTACCTTCATTTCACCTTCCTGGTCGAGCATCGACTCAAACTTGTCACTCAACTCCCGTAGTTTACCATTAAGCTGGTCAACCATTTTGTTACTCTTCTCTAGCTCTGTCTGAGTCACCTGAAGCTCGGCTTGAAGACGTCGCTCCGAGTACTCGCACTGACTCACACGACTACTTAAATCCTCGCTGTAGAACAGACACATTATTTAATTAGAATATACACTCATTTATTTCAATAAACTATACAAAAAAGAACATTTAAGCCAAGTTATTTCAGAATTCCACCATCTAAATACCTAGTTATGATCTGACACACTATTACATCAATCTCAATTTTGGTCTGACATCAGCAAGCTAAAATCAACACAAAAAAAACATACTTACTTTTCAAAAGTGACATCATTCAGTGAAGACTTTAATGCTTTTTCTATCAAATGAGCCACTCTGACAATTTCTGTGAATAGCATCGCTACACGGCTCATCTGATTGGACAACTCTCCCTCTTCACTAGGATGGCACACACTTTCAAATTTTGACTCGACCTTATTGGATACCGCATGACAGACACTCTTATGTACTGGTTCAGTTGATGACAAAGAGTTTCCAGCACTTCTTCTAGAATGACAACTGGTCACATCGTTTTCTACTGACTGTGCAGTTTTTAATGTAACAGATTTCTTAACTGGAGCAAAAGCACTATTTCCTGAAAAGCCAAGCTTCTTTCTACTCAGAGCACCTGGACTGTCTACCACTCCCTGTTCACATGAAAGAGCATCTACAGGATTCGGAGGAGGTTTATTAGTTTTTTCATTATTTTCACAACCAGTCTGTTGTTCTTGATCTTCATTGCTCCTAGTGGCATCTTCAATATTTTCTCCAAGACTGTTTGCTGCATTTAGAATCTGAGAAACCAAGGAGATTGAAATATTCGTATTGTCTTTCAACGGCTCTTTGTTCAAAGTAAAACCATCAATAACCACTTTACTGTTCTCAACATCCTTGTTCTGGAAATATACACATTCAAAATATGAGCCCTGTCACGACAAAACCAACATCGTGTGTTTGCGACTAGCATAGATCCAGACCAACCTGCGCATCCACGCAGTCTGATCAGGATCCATGCTGTTCTCTTACAAACCCTATAACAAGTAGAGAAACAGACAGCGAACAGCATTTGTTAAGTCTTTAGGCCTCCAGCCCATAAACATTTACAACATATATATGATATAAATACATAGACAGTGAGTGATACAGACATTGAGACATGTATTGTTTGTTTGTTTTGGTATTACGTCACACAAACACAGAATAAGTCATATGGCGATGTTCCAGCTTTACTGGTAGAGGAAGACCTAAGGTACCCTTCTGTGCATTATTTCAGGCACGAACAGGCACCCGAGTAGAACCACTGAGGTTCCGTAAGCTAGCTGGATAGCTTCCTCACATGATAGAATCCAAAGTCCCTGTAGGGATTCGAACCCACAGATGTGAGGGGCAAGTGATTTGAAGTCAACGACCTTAACCACTCTGCCACGAACGCCCAATAGACATGTATATATACATAATTTACAAAATTAACAGTATTTCAGTATTCATTAAAAAATATCTAAGTTACTTTCTCTTTTATCTAATGCATAGAACAGGTATATTGCAGTGTTTCTAATGTCATTTTTATTAGACATTAATGAGTAAAATTTTTCAAGTGTTGGTAGCATTTTGTAATTTTCCAAAATACAATGGCAGTGTATATCATTTATAAAGGGACAGATTTATAAAAAATAGTATTCATCTTCTATTGAATACACTTTGTCTTTCTACAAATTTTGAGCAGTCAACAAATCACTTAACATTTACAACTTTCACAGGTCTAACCCTGTACAGTCAAAAGCCTGAATAGTTAGCAATTCACACTTTGGATGGTACAAACTTCAAGGATTTAAGGCTGTCATTGAATATCACAATATTGATATATCATTGATAATCATCATCGTCAGGGGCAAGCCGTTGTTTCCTTAAGCAAGAAACTATACATTCATTGCTTAGTACTGGTTGGTTTGAGAGTGTTTCAATAAGCTTATAGCTTCAAACACAATGAAACTAAAAGAAATTTGTATAAACAAAGGTTGCTGACTTTAAAGAGATGTCAAACTCATTACTGCAAGTTTACATATTGCCAGGGACTGCTTTCATTTAGGGAAGATATCCAGCTAGCTTATGAAAGGTCAAAAATTTTATTTGCTCATGCCAGGAGTAATGCATGATCGGGAACCCAAGGGGTCATCCTTCACCTGCTAACCGGGAAAGATCTTATATGAACTGTAGAATGTAAGGGCAAGTTAGTTTGTTTGTTTTGGTATTATGTCACACAAACACAGTATAAGTCATATGGCGATGTTCCAGCTTTACTGGTGGAGGAAGACCTCAGGTGCCCATCTGTGCATTATTTCAGGCACCAACAGGCACCTAAATAGAACCACCAACGTTCTGTAAAGTAGCTGGACAGCTTCCGCACACTTAAGAATCCAGATTCAAGTAGTGGGGGGCAAGCGGTTTGAAGCCAACAACCATAACCACACAGCCATGGACGCCTTTGTCAGTGCAACTTAAAACCTAATAAAACTCATTATTTTATATATCTATCAAACCTCTATTCCAGCCCTCCTGCTCAGGTTTGCTAATACCCCCATCATGTTCTCAAGAAGCTCATCTATGGCGGAAGAGCAGTCGGCTATCTCAGTACCCTGCTTCTTCATTACTTTAGAGGCATAATCCTGGGTACCAGTAAGCTCTTCCTGAGTACTCTTCAATATTGCTCTGAAGAAGATAAAATTCTTAATTGGGCTTAACCTTACATTGCTATTTAATTATATAACTTATATTCAGTAATTCTGCAAATACAAAATAGGTACAAATAATGCTACTTGTTTGGAACACATGATGTATAAATTTTTTTGTGAGGACCTAAATAATAAGTTAATGTTAATACAATTATCTTGTCCCACCTTCAAAATCAACTTGGTCATTCTGTTTGTACATGTACATTAAAGATCCTGTATGTTGTTATTCAGGATGTAAAAACACCTAAGTGAAATTTTATATATGTATATTATTATTCTTCTAAAACAATTTCCAAACATCCAAGAATATGTTAAATATCTACTGCAAATGTTTACAGGCATTATATATAATCATTAAAATATATGCATTCATTACTTCTTAGAATTAACAGAAAATAAATTTCTTATTACTTCCCCTTATTTACATGAAATGTAAATTCGGTAATATCTCTACACATAATGCTTTTTGCCCCAAGTTTTTGGAACTTCCTATATTGATAAATCTTTATTTGAGCATCATATTTATGATATAAAACCTTAAAAAAAATTGAGTTACAGAATCTTTAAATGAAATCACACAAGTCACATGGCTAGTATTAAAACTACTTGGTGATTATGTCGGAGTCTAAATTTCGTTCAACATATATAGATATATTTACGCTTAAAACACAATATATATATACATGTAGAATATTAACAGAAATTCATGCTTGGACTTTTACAAATGCCATTTTAATGTGATTTGAGTACATAAGATAATTTTTATTTATTTTTTATTTGTCTGAATATCCCTTTAATGACTGATCACAATACTTCATGCTAACACAGTAAGGGCTGTTTTTGCATTATATTTGACCACTTTTGGAAGTTTACATAGATTGTAAGTGCCGTTTGCAATGGGTTAACTACACTTTCTTTCTTCAATTTACCATATTACAATAAGTGCTGCTTGCAATGTGTTAATCACTTTCTTTCTTCACTTCACAATAGTTTGACCTTTAAAATACATTTCCAAAGTTATCATGATGATTAGCATGAATCTGGAGGCATGCTGCTTTAAGTTGTTGAATGGAATTGGCCGAATTCTAGTTTGAATCGGTAAAGAAACCTGATTAAACAACCGATATGTTCAGGCTGGTATTACCCTTTTTTCATAATGTTTAGGCCTCTGAAATAATTGTAACTGGACAGAATATAAGTTGAAGTTTACATAGTAAATGGCGATTTATGCAAGATCTAAATTAATTCTATTTTCGATTTGATGTTTACATCGTCAGTACTTGACCAATATCCGAATCTTACTAGTATATCAAGTGACTTTACCTAGCACCCTTATCAACAGAGTAGGACCTGCATCAGCAGCTAACTTGCATTCAGCTTCTCGATTTCCACAGCACTCTTTGTTTACACGCACAAGTTAGAAAAATATTTTTACACCACTATCCATCCCAGACTCTCACCTTGAAGAAGAATGCCTTCTGGTTAAGAATCTTGTCATGTGTCTCAAATGGGGTTCAGGCTTGTAAGCCAATACCAAGAAAGAAGGAGGCATACTGGCTCGGACTTTACCAGACTTAATGGTTTTAACATGTATTATGTCTTATTTCCAGTGTTACTTATATTTATCATATAATAATTCATGTGTCCTGATGTTTCTTAGACAGTTATGCCAAAAATAAAGATTTAAAAAACTATCACTTGTTCCATGGTTTTAATTTGATTGAGTATAAACAAGAGATACAACTTAACTTCTCACTGAATATATATGGAGGGACATTACCTTGTTTCTTGTTCTTTCGCCCTGAGGTTAGCACAACAGTCCTGTAAATAGATGGAAACATTGTAAAAGTTTGGGGGGGTATATTGAGACAGCTTAATAAAAAGATTTTCATTAATAATGTATATGCTTACACATTATCATCATAGTATGGGAAGTAATTTGTTGCCATAATGTTTGATCATAATTTTATTGTGTAAAAGTCAGAGGTGGGGGACCTGTAAATATTCTATGACATAATAATAACTACAATTCACAATTCATAATGTAACGTTTCACACCTTACAAAGAGAGAGAGAGGTCATTTTCAGCCAAAGTGATGGGAAATTTCCTTCTTTTAATTACAATGCTAATATATACTGGTTACCAAAATAAAAAAAAAAATAACCACAACACTTGCAAATGGACCAGATCTAGATGATGCCAAAGTATCACATTGTTTTGACCTTTATTCAGAATATTCATACTGACCTGTGTATTATAAGTACAAGGAGTGTAAGGGATATTTTTGATATATGATAATTTAACAATATACAACAACATTACAACAAATTTAAGATCTAGGTAAGTGTTGACTTTTATATCAGTGGTCTCAATAGTGGGGACAAATAAAGAACAAAACAACAAATTGGGACTGAATCTGGTGGTCTTTAAAGTGGATAAGCAAGGTGGTCTTAATTCTGGATCATGTAGCCATTAACATAAAGAACAGAAAATATTGTTCTTTTCAAACGGGGTGGTCTTATTACGGGGTGGTCTGAAGTAGGGATTATACTGTACTTTAGATTAAGCTAGTTTATAAGGATGACCACCTTGCATCTCTTTATATTTAGAAGTGGAGTGACCATCATCAGCAATTTTTCATCACATTTGTTTGTTTGTTTCATTTTACACCTTTTCCCAACAGTATTTCAGTCATATAGGCAGGTAGTTTCCTAACCATGGTTCCTGAGAGTTACACCAGTACTAGACTACCTATCTCCTTGCTAACCTACCAAAGCATCTCATGGGGATCGAACCCACGCCAGAAAGGTAACTGGATTAGAAGTCATTGACTAACCCCTCGACCATTGAGGCAGTTTTTCATCAAGTGAAAAATGTTGTGATAGTTTGAAAGCATCTAAAATATCATATTATTACATGTCATATGGCATCAACAAATATTTTCCACAACACCATTCAAACGGTTAAACAGTATTTTTAAAGGTTACTTTCAGGCAAGTATATGTATGAAAAATGTTATCCGACAGTTTTTGTCAAAAACTTACCTTAAGTCGGTCACACTCGCCCTTCAGTGTTGTTAATTCTGCTGACATGTTCTTCTCTTTGGTATCCTGAGATTTCGCTGTCTCCATTTGGTTATATATTATCTCGCGGCACTCAAACAAATCTTTCTCGAGCAGGTCTATCTCACTCTCTCGGCTCTCCAGTGTTCTGTTGAGGTTCCTTACTACTAATTCTCTCCTGTAATATTTTTGTAAATTGACTACTTTTCAATCATCTAGAGTTTAAATTGACTACTTTTCAATCATCTAGAGTTTAAATTGGCTACTTTTCAATCATCTAAAGTTTAAATTGGCTACTTTTCAATCATTTAAGAGTTTAAATTGACTACTTTTCAATCATTTAGAGTTTAAATTGACTACTTTTCAATCACTTAGAGTTTAAATTGACTACTTTTCAATCATTTAGAGTTTAAATTGACTACTTTTCAATCATTTAGAGTTTAAATTGACTACTTTTCAATCATTTAGAGTTTAAATTGACTACTTTTCAATCATTTAAGAGTTTAAATTGACTACTTTTCAATCAACTTGAGTTTAAATTGACTACTTTCAATCATAAAGAGTTTAATTGACTACTTTTCAATCATTTAATAGATTTTATGCCCACATAAAATAATTTATGTCATTGTTCTGTCCCTATACTCATTACTGTACAGAATATTACGGGTCAGGTTTTTAGCCGT